AGGCTCAGTCCCAGCAACAGCAACTCTATGGGGAGAGTGGGCTAACACCAAATTTTTCATTTTGAGATCTAGAAGGTTTCAAACTGCACCACTCATGCGCAGACAAACCCATATGTGCAATTTCAGACACCGCAAAGAAGAATTATTCATGCACTTCAAGCTTTTATTTTGTTTTATCACAAAATGTGTACTAAAGAAAAGAAAAAAGTTATCTGCCAGTGGCAAAAAAACAAAAGAAAACTTCTCTTGTATGGCAATTTTTTCCTAGGATCCTGTTTTCATTTTCCAGAAACAATCCTTAGATACAAAGCAACTTTGAAAATAAATTCACAAAAATTGAGCTTTTTTATTCATTGTGATAAGTCAGTAGCCTAAAATAGAGACTCAGCTCTTTGCTTCCTTACCTATTTTATGGACAATTTTGAGTTACCCAGGAAACCATCTGTATATTCCTTGTTCAGTGTACTACAATATATAATAGTCAAGGTTTTCTGTTTTCCAGGATCAAAGCATGTGATAACTATTTGAGGGGCTGTTTACACCTGAAAGACTGTGTACTACAGTATAACTGAAGATCAAGTTAATTTTACACACACAGACATACTATAAATATAAATAGAGAGGGGGGGGGGGATGAATGGATTAATCTTAAAGATATGGGTGTGCCACAACATTTGATTGCATAATGCACTTAGGATAAAAGGGAGTTAGATAAACTCAAATGAAGGAAGCCATCACTTTGAGTTGAAAAGGCCCAATCATAAATGTTAGTGACAAAGTAACTCAGAGGTTCTCATTCAGGGCACCAGCAAAAGCCTTAGATGACTTAATGGCAACTAGCCACAGTACACACATACTTGATATTCAGCTGGGTAAAATAAGCACATTTAATCACATCCATTTCAGATTAGATTCCCCCAGAGTATTAATATATCTGCCTATTATTCTTACAATTTTATATTTCTTAGAACAAGAGAGAAAAAAGACCCTATTCACAATCTAAATATTACAGCAAAGGCTTGATCCCTCAGTTCTGCATATACGAAATACATTCTAAGACAAACAAGTTTCATGTGTCTCACAAAGTACTCTCCTTGATATCAAGTAAAGGGAAAATCTTCTTGGCAATACACAAGAAGGCTAAGAAGAGTAAGGAGTGCTAGCTTTCAGATTATTCTTTTTGAAACAGTTCCTTTTACACACCTCAATATGAATGACGGAGATTTTTCATCCTTACTGACGGAATAAAGAACCTGCAGTTTTAATAGTTAACATTCCATTATATCTGGACCTTTTCCACCTGGGGATGAATGGAAAGGAACTGTGGAAGAGTACTGCAATATATGACAACTACAGCAAGACTGCTAAACATGAACAATTCCAATAATGCCAACAAAAGGGGGCTAGTTATTAAAATTTACTGACTTAAAAGAAGTGGGAAAACTGTCTATATTGATTAGAGAAAAATCACTAAAGAGAATTTGTAAGGATTGAAGATCCCAAATGACTATTGGCAGGAAAAAAAAGAATGTTATATTAATTGTAGGTTTTCATTATTATTACTGGTAGGATTGTACTAACTCATGTATAAAATCAAGAAAAGATGTTATTGCTATAAATATTTGCACATAAAGGACAGGCTAGGACAGGTAGGAAGAAACCCTCAAGAGCCATCCAGTTCAACCTCCTGCCATGCAGCCCATTTAAAAAACCCCAAAAACCACACTCAGAGGCAGCATATTCAACTATCAAAAAATCTCTTATCATCATAAAGTTCTTCCTAATATTTACGTGGGATCTCTTTTCTTGTAGTTTGAATCCATTGCTCCATGTCCTAATCTCTGAGGCAATTTGTAAGGACTGGAGATCCCAAATGACTATTGGCAGGAAAAAAGAGAATGTTATATTAATTGTAGGTTTTGGTGATTAGTACTGGTAGGATTGTACTAACTTGTGTATAAAATCTAGAAAAACATTTATTGCTATATATACTTGCACATAAACGACCCTCATACATTAGGCTAGGTTTTGAGAACAAAATTATAGAGTTGGAAGAAAACCTCAAGATCCATCCAGTCCAACCTCCTGCCATGCAGCTCATTTAAAAACCTCCAAAGAAGGAAATTCAATCACACTCCGAGGCAGCATATTCCAGTATCAAAAAATCTCTTATCATCACAAAGTTCTTCCTAATATTTACGTGGGATCTCTTTTCCTGTAGTTTGAATCCATTGCTCCATATCCTAATCTCTGAGGCAATTGGAAACAAGCTGGCTCCATCTTCAATATGATATCCTTTCAAATATTTAAACATGGCTATCATTTTACCTCTTAACTTTCTTTTCTACAGACTAAACATATCCAGCTCCCTAATAGGGCATAGTTTCCAGACCTTTTACTCTTTTGGCTGTCCTCTTTTGGATACGTTCCAACTTCTCAATATCCTTCTGGAATTGCAGTGCCCAAAACTGGACACAGTATTTCAGGTGAAATACATTTTTGCAAATCTGTAGTTTTTAAGTGTGTTTGAAAAATCTTTAGAAAATCATTAGATAATTTGAATAGTTCAGTGATACACTGCCCTGCTATTTTCTTCCTCAAGTGATAGATACCCAACTTTTATAATGTCATCAATTCTACTTCCTTTTCTTCCCCCCGCCCTTCATAACTGCCCAACATTTCCTTTCCTCCATCATCCATTCCTCTCTTATGTACATGTAATCACATGGCATGATGCAAAAAGCTCTGCAAATGAACTCTAAACCCATCGCAAGTAACTCACTGAACTGAAACATAATATAAGAGCTGTCCTTATGGAATTTTCTGAGATATCAAGTCACTCCAGGATGACGACTATGCATAGTAGTACTGTGAGAAATTATCAGAGGGCTACTTGCCAGACAAAATGATGAAAGAATGTCCATCAGCATGTACAGATTATAGATTTATAACCAGGATGAATTATGATTACTTAATTTAAAAGAAGAGAGAGAGAAAAACAAGTGAAAAGGTTAAAAAGAAGAGATAAAGAACTAAGGGGTTTTGCTATGTTAGCTGTTGGGTAAAACAAAAAATACTGGTGCTAGCAGGACATACCATTAGCTTTCTTAAAGCTCAGTATAATATTGCCAGTATTCTGCCATGAAAAAACCAGCCAAAGGTTATGGTATTTTAGAAACAGAACAAGTAATACCTAGTTCAAAGGATAACAAAATACTTATCAACTGACCTTATAGGTAACAGAAAGAATTATCCCAACAGTGTAGTGGGAAAAATATTTAATAAATGCCATCTGAAAGTCATACCATTTTAGAATAGATACTTCTTAATCACAAAATACATTATCAAAACAATACAAACCATCATACAGTGCATATTTTATGTTCTATGCTATTTTTATAGGAGAACTTTTACAAAGTTTTTTTTTCAAAAACTGAAATACATTCAGATTGATTGTTATGAACTCTGCTGTCTTTTCATATGTTTCTTATATTCAGAAACAGAAAAATTCTGGAAGTATCATTATACTATTACATTAGTTGAAATAACACAAATATTACATGTGACTGTTACTCAGTTTCAATGTCCGGCTTGTTGCAAAATAAATATCTCCCCCCCCCCCAAAAAAAAAAAAACACCAAGTAAAATGCTTGGTTTACTGTTGTGCAAACTAAGTACATCTCAGATGAAAGCTAGTTTCTTGCTTGGAAGCCTGCTCATATTCCAATATTCTACCGAAAAACAGGTAGTCCTCCTTATTCATGTAAGAGTTGACTGTGGGAGAAGGTGTTCTGCTGTATTCTTAAAATTATTTAAGAAGGAGCCCACACCACTTAAAAACAGAACAGATATACCAACTCCTGTAACCTCCTACACCAGAATAGTTGCTAATAAAAATGCTACATTACAAACAATAATGCAACAAGCTACTTTGGAACAGCATTATACAGCAAATAACACACCTTTTTTTAAAAAAATGCCAGAACCCACAACAATGCATTGTCCTAGTAATGAGCAACAGAAAACAATTCGCTTAAGAAGTAACATTCCAGGTTCTACTTTCCCAGCAGCCCAGGCAGCTACACACCCGCATCAGCCAGATGCTCCCACAGCCCTTCTGGATCCCTGATTCTAAAAAAAATCTATTGCCTTGGCCTACTATTCTTTCTACCAATGCTACTATTGTTTCCTTATGGAGAGGAAAGAAGAGGGGTCCTATTGTTTATGTAATGGGGAAATGCTGTGTATCTATGAGTCTTGGGAGGAGGGCAGGTAGGGTTTTCCAGTTGAATTCCACAAAGACTAAGAGATTGAAGAGGAAACTTAAAAGCCAATGCTACCCTAGGGTCTGGAAATCAGAAGGCAGGCAAATGCGGGCTTGCTGGGAAGAATGCATCATTTGGCATAATGCATCAACCTCCACTGTAGTCAAGAAGATCATAACAATTACCATTACAAATGTTATACAGCACAAAAAATTTACAAGGATTCGCTTTAGACTTATTAGAGGATTTTGTTAACTCTATTGCAATAAAGAGAACAAGATGACTCTATTAAATGTCTGAATATTTAGCTGGTTGAAAAAAGTATTTTAAAAAGACCAACTGACTTGACAAGGAGAGAGACTACAATAACAACTGACTTAATGTTCAGCCTTTTCCAGTAAGAGAAAAAAATGAGAAAAATCATATCACATTGAGCTGGACACTGCAAGCGTATGCTGATTCTCACGATATTCCAATTAATTTCTCAACAATTAATTTTTTTGCAATTTAATTGTATACTATATTTTTGACCATATAATTCAGTGTTTCAGTAAATTCACCCAGCCCAATAGATCTTGCTTGAATGTTATGCATGCTGTAAGAAATTCAGTCTATCCTGTTTGCATTCTTAATTACTTCAAAGTCAAATTTGGTTAGCTGCCACCACATCTTTCTTTATGGTGCTTTTTCACAAGTGTGAAAGAAGAGGAAATGAAAAAGTGAATGAAGACATACCTTCATCAATTGAAGCTTCACTACTGTACCCATCATACTCTGCAGAGAGAGGACTATATTTTTGTCTGGTTTCCCAGATATAGTTTTTCTGTTGTCTGCTATCACCTGCTGGGGGTCTGGAATTTTGTGTTCTGGACAAGGCTTCATGGTATTTACCCAGTGCTTCATCTTCACTTTCTGATGATGAACCATGCTGGTCTATATTTCGGTATGAATTATCTATTTCACGGAGGAAATAAAAATTGATGATAGATAGTGTCATAAAGAAGAATGCTGAAAATATATTGGTTAAACATTTAACTGCTAACATTTCTTCCAAACAGAAAGTTCACACTTTAAAATTGCTCAAACTTCAAAATATGTATAATAATCAAAACTGCATTGTTTCTCTTCCTAGAAATAGTGCAAAACTTTTAATGAAGTTTCCTAGAGCTCTTTGGCAAATAATTCTAAAGTGGAAAAATAGTGCTCCAAATGTGCAATGTGAATGGTTTTCTAGTTCTTAAGGTGAGGAATATGGACATGTGTATATTGTGTTATGAGGCAGGAGGGTTCTTTCCACCATATATATCATATTGTCATATCTCATGTCACGCTCCAACCAATTGATGTAACAGTTTCCCAATCAAAAGAGCTGGCAATTCTGATAGACCAGTGGTTCTCAACCTATGGTTTCCAGGTGTTTTGGCCTACAACTCCTAGAAATCCCAGCCAGTTTACCAGCTGTTAGGATTTCTGGGAGCTGAAAGCCAAAAAATCTGGGGACTCACAGGTTGAGAACCACTGTGATAGACTTTTCTGCAATTTGATTAAAGGGATTATTCCATAATTTATATTGCTCTGATTGATGTACTGCCAAGGCATGTGTCAACATGGATATCACATCCAGAAACCTGGGTTAAAGTCAACTATGGCTATACTAGATTATTTCTATTATTCTTAAAATATTCAATGTGTGGTATTTTATTTTTTTACATGTTTTTCTACTAATTTCTATAAAATATGTTTGCAGTGGATTTGAAAGAATATTTTATGTCTTTATGAAAGATATATGTAGTTCAAAACAGATGAGGTTTCTAGATACTGTTTCTTATAATAAATCTACTTAGCAGATTATATTCAAATCCACTAATATAATTGACATATGCATAACATATTTGGAATTCAAGATAAGATTCAAGACAAAAACAAACCATGTTAACCAATCAAAATGTAACAAAACCCAAGAAAATAGAAGGAGAGAAAGGAAAAATAACGGTTAAAGTTATCAAGAGCAACTAGTAATGACAGAACATCTTGTAATTAGTTTCAAGGAATTTAAACATTATTAATTAAAGTTTATTTCAGAAGAGCAGAAGGCAGCTTGTGCATCTGATTTTTTTTCTTCCTCTTCCCCCTCATACATCCCCTTACATTCCCCTGAAAATGCTCTGCAATTGGACAGAGCCCTCCTGAAGACTTGGGATCTGTCATGCATTGGCAGCAGGTTGGATTAGATCAATGGTTCTCAACCTGGGGTTCCCAGATGTTTTTGGCCTACAACTCCCAGAAATCTCAGCCAGTTTACCAGCTGTTAGGATTTCTGGGAGTTGAAGGCCAAAAACATCTGGGGACCCCAGGTTGAGAACCACTGGATTAGATGGTCTTCACAGCTGCATCCAACTCTATGTTGCTATGAAAAAATATCTTGTAATCCAGTAAAAGAACCTTTGTGCAAGGTCACTCGTTTCAATTTTCTGCTTATGCTACACTTCTGCATTACACCATAACCACTACTATAATAACACTGTACTGAACAGATTTTCAAGGATTAATGGAGGGGCTGCAAAATGGGAGAAGAGAAAGCTCTTCTGGACAAACTGCCTTCTCATTAGAAAATAATACAGAATCAAAATGTGTCTCCACTCAAATGATTGTTTTACAAATCATTATGAGTACACTCCATAAGAAAGCTAGGAAAAGAAGTATGTAGTAAAAGATCCAGGAAAGGCTAAATGGGTACAGTATGTGCGACACCTCACCTTCATCTGGTGCCTTCTTACTACTCACTTCTTTTGAAAAGCATTCTGATTCCTTAGTCTTTTCCTTCGCTCTTTCTTTTGAAAGAACTGGTGGCACATTTTCTTCCTGCTTTGTTACAGACTGTTTGTGGCCAACACGAAGGGTTTTGCATTTCTTTCTTTTTACTTCATGGGCATCATGTGTTTTTTTAAGCCTCAACTTTGAGAATTTTGATTTGTGCTCTTCCTTCACATCCTCATTCCTGGATACAATACCATGACCTTCTTTGGTGCTCGTGAAATCTGCTCCTGGTGAATTTTCTTTTACTTTTTTATGGAACTGATCCTCAGATTGTTTTACTACTTCATGTGACTCTTTACTTGGCCCTTTATTAGGGGATTTCTCCTGCCTATATGTATTGCAATTTTGACTAATATCTTTTGAAAAGGCAACTTTTTCCATCGAGTTGCTTCCTGTATGTTTATTGCATTCTGCTGAATTAGTCATTGCCTTGGAAACATCTGCATCATGAAGAAGTTTATCATGTTGAACAACATGGCATTGAGTCTTATGTCTGTTATGATGGGTTTCTCTGCCAGCATTTGTATTTTGTTTTAAATTTTGTGTGTGTTTTTCTTCGACACTGCAATGCTTTTCTCTCATATGCTTTTCAGTATCATAATTCAATGGTGTGTTGTTTTCTTCCTTATCTACTGCAAATGGATCACTCTGTGTTGTATCATCTGTGCGAAGGCTGTTGATCATGCTTGTTACCTGTTCTGTGACTGAGTCAGCTACAGTATAGCTGACATCCCCTACAGCACTAGTTAAATCATCAACAGCATTACTCAGTGACTCCACCAGGGAAGACATAGAAGGAAGGTTCAGATTCTGTTGAACATTTTGTTGAAAAGTTTTGAAAAATGCCATATTTTAATGGTTTATTAATAAAACAGTAATTTAAAAGAAAAGCTCACTGGTATGTCAGTAATAAAGCTCAATTTTAATTGTTTAGTGCAACGGTCCTATCATTTAACCAGAGAACACTACATGTTTGTTCTTTGATCTTAGAAAGTATTAAAGGGGATAAAATATTTTCTACAGCGAGACAGAGTCATTTATTTTCCAATATTATATTAAACTCATCAACTAATTTTAACATAAGATGACTTTGAAAATATTTAACAAAAACATGTATTTTACTCTAAACCTGCAAAGAAAAAAATAATATGCTGGAAATAAACTGTGTTGCTACAAAACTATGTGCCTACTGACATCAACCAGTATTCTCTCTGATATTAAGAAACTACAAAGGATGCCTAAGCATATTCTTAATTCTTGGTATTCTGTTCATCCCAAAATTTTAAAGGCATGGGCATCAATCTGCAAAGAAATAAACACAAAAGCTCACTAAAATGTATGGGTTTATTTAACAAATGTCTGGTTGCTCCTGACACAATAAATAAATAAATAAATAAATAAACCATGTGACTGTAGGCATGGAGGGCAAGCTGGTTCAGTTAAGATTACTGTGTGTTCTGAAATACTGTCTTCAATTCAAATTAAATAAAAGAGATTCGTCATAATATTATGGAGATTCAGAAACACATTGTCCCTTATATTAAGAAAATGCTGTGTGTTGTTGAAGGCTTTCATGACCAGAATCACTGGATTGCTGTGAGTTTTCTAGGTTGTATGGCCATGTTCCAAAAATATTCTCTCCTGACATTTTGCTCTGAGGATGCCTGCCATTTATGTCAGGCATCCTCAGAGGTGGGGTCTTTTGGAAACTAGGCAATTGAGGTTTATATATCAGTGGAATGTCCAGGGTGGGAGAAAGAACTCTTGTCTGCTTGAGACAAGTGTGAATGTTGCAGTTGGCCGCCTTGATTAGCATTTACTAGCCTTGCAGCTTCAAACCCTTGCTGCCTGGGGGAATCCTTTGTTGGAAGATGTTAGCTGGCCCTGATTGACCTCTGAGGATGCCTGACATAGATGTGAGCAAAATGTCAGGAGAGAATGCTTCGGGAACATGGCCATACAGCCTAGAAAACTCATGGTAACCCTGCAATTGTTCTGTTTCCCCAGTTCAATGCTATGTATTTGGATGATGACACTTGTCTATTTATTCATTTTAATTATATTTAGGGGAAAAACTATTCATTTTTATACTATATGAAATTACAAGCATTTAACTAAATAAATCAATCAATTTCCACACGCATATAAGAAATACTCATGATTTTACAAAAACAGTCTAAAATTTACAAATATTTTCTAAGTATAGCAAGAATTTTATCCCTTTACATATTACTACATCTTTTAAAATGCTAAATCATAAAAGTTAACACTTACAAAGCTTTTCCTGTGAATTTTTTCTGGTGCTGTATCGTGAACTGAGGTCAGGGAATCCTCCAATGTTTTCAAAACACATCTTCTTGTTAATGTACAGGAAAAGAATCAACAATAGGATAATAAAGACTCCAACTGCTGAAAGAAATCCGACTGCCTCAGGAGATACTAGAAAAAACACAAAAAACGACCAAAACAGAAATCACAATTGCTTTATAAAAATCAGATTGATAATCTCATCCAATTAAAAATCTTGTCCATCTTCAAATTTAAATAGAAATGAATAGAAACAATTTTATACAATATCCTGATTTGACTAACCTCAAGAAAGAATTGGCCACCTCTAATCTGGAATTTCACATTTTGCACACAAAAATCATATCGATATTTGACAAATATCAATGTAAGACTCCCTTTCGGTCCCAATACTTTAACTGCTGCTATAGGTAGGCTCAGCATGAGCTATCGTAGGCTGAATCTCATCAACATCATTATCCATAGGAAGGGCCTTCTCTCTGTTCCACCACTCTCTCAAACACAATTGGTAGGTACACATGAGAGGGCTTTTTGGGTGGCTGCTCCAAGTCTGTGGAACTCCCTCCCAAGAGAGACCAAGATGTCCCCATCCCTGCTGGCCTTCCAAAGACATGTTGAGACCTTCCTCTGCTAGCTGGCATTTAGGGAAGGATAAGGGGCATGCTGCTGGAGAAATTGTAGGTGAGATTCTGGGGTGGGGGGTTGTGAGTATTAAATGTAATTTTAATTATATTTATTATATCTTAATTGCATTTTAACTTATATTTAATTTTTAATTTTTAATTGCCATTTTAAAAATTATTGGGTTGTGTCATGTAATTGTGAGCTGCTTTGAGTCCCCATGGGGGAAATTAGGATAGAAATAAAGGAAATGATGATGATGATGATGATGATGATGTTGATGATGATGATGTATCCACTTTAATGCCTTATGAAAAGGACATGTTACGATCTCAAAAAAATTTGTGGAAGTCAAATGTACATACTCCTTTCCTAAAATTGTCAGTGAGTTCAACAATTTATTCATGAAATGTGTGCCCAATCAGTCTAAGATGGGGAAGCCTCTAGAAAGAAGGATGGCTTTGAACATGAGGGGCTTTTAGGGCAGAAGAAGAGAAAACAGAGTCTATCAGCAAACCTATTACTGGTCTTAAAAAATCTCTTGAAGTCAGATCTCCATATCCAAAACCCAGAGTTCACACTTCAGATTTCATTATGAGGTTTCAGAGCTCCCAACTACTCAGGTCTGGGGAAACAAAGAAGGCAGCAAGCCAGGCAGGGCTTCTGGGCTGCCAGTAAAGATACTGCAATTGGAACCCCTGCCTGGATCTAGGCCTGATTAAGATCTAAGAAAAGATCTAAGAAAGGCACTATATAAGCTCTCATTCTGGGACAAAGCAAAGGCCCTCAAAGTACTTTGAGGAAATGAATAATCAGGAACAGACAGCATTCCACCATAGGCCTATAAATGTATGCTTTGCTTACAGTATTTATTTTCGCTTGAGATTGCGCACAGTTATTTTTTAAAACATGCAGTCAGCCCTCCATATCCATGGATTCTGTATCCACAGATTCAAACATTTACATATTGAAAATATTTGGGGAGGGGATCCAAAAGGCAACCCTTGGTTTTCCCATTTTGTATAAGAGACACCACTTTATTAGGTCATTGTATATCATGGGACTTCAGCATCCATGCGCTTTGGTATCCACAAGGGGTCCTGAAACCAAACCCCAGGAGACACCAAGGGCACACTGCATTACATATCATGCTTTGATGAATATTTTAAAATTATTTTCAATCTTTTTACAGCCTTATCCTCTCTCAACTGCCACTGCAGTTTAGAGTCTGAAGCTGACTTGCTTAATAACTGATCAGATTCATGGAGAGCCCCTTTTTTTAATGAATTCAACACATACTTTTCATTATTTTAATTAATTTACACTTAAAGGACAGATAATTAATTAATTAATGACAGTTTAAATTGAAGAGAGCTCTTGTTATTTTACTCAGTATATAAAAGCATGATGTCTAAAATCAACATTGCTATTATCATATAAAACACTAAGCTAAATGCTAATATAATGATAAAACAAGGTCTTCTCAGAGTTTAAAAACAAGTGCTATGTTATCTGTACTGTCCTTAACAGAAGTGCTATCTCTTACGACATTTTGAGAAGCAATTAATACCTTGCTAGAGAATGAAACTTTAGCTCTAGCTAGACTATTTAATAAATCATCAACTTTAACACCAAGCACACGTCTTTTGAAATTATCTGTCTTGTATCAATTTGCATCCACAAACCCATGCTTGGGACTGAGACATGCCTTAACTCTGATACTTTTTTGAAGTCAGTAACTCACTGAGGAAAAATAGTACTAAGTCCCATTTCTGTTATCCATTGAGGAATTTCATGCAGGCCAGAATCTTATGTGGAACTGTATTCACTTGTCTGTTTAAGGTGAAGCATTTAACTTCTCATGAAGCAAATATTAAGCAATATTAGTTAACTGTCAGAAAGTAAATCAAGTTAAATATAGGGACAATATCACAGTTATACATATGATACATTCAATTCAATGTACATTTAAAATTATGATCTAATTAATGGCCAAAGAGAACAATTTTTACTAAAAAGTTTTAAAAGAAATATAACACATTTCATAATGGCTATATGTCCCTGGAAAACCATTCACAAAATTCAAAAACATTTTCTCAACACACTGAATGCATATGGTTACACAATGTATAGTTTAGTAGCAGATTTAAGCAACCCAAGGTGCCTTTTCATATAATCACACAATAATGAGTCAAAGAAAGACACTGAAATTAACATCACAAATCCAAAGTCAACATACAAGAATTAATATCTAACCATACCAATATTAGTTATGAGTTCAACAGTCAAAATCTTTACTTACAAAAGCAGGTTTCAGGAACATATTGTATTTCACTAGATTTACAACTGTATTTTACAAAAATAAAAATAAACATGATCTTCTGGAGTGGTTCACTTTATAAGAAAAATATTTCTTCTATATCTTTTATTATCTATTTCCAAAAGTAAATGTCAGCTATATGTATAAGTAATGTCCTTATACAGAATAGAATTGTTAACACTAAAAAATGGTTACCTACAATGACAAAACACATTTAAAACCTTTTCTTCTCTACTCACCGTTCAGCTGCTCAATGGTTTATGCAACCATATATTTATCTCACTGCATGCCATGGGTAGTTTAATTATTGATGTTGTCAGTGCAATTGTATCTGCCTTGTTTACAAACTAAATGGGTACAGACTTGATCTGAAACTTAGGATCTGTCCAATGAATACAGCCTTTTGGGGAAAAAATCTATCTAATATGAAAATGTATATATAGTATTTTTATAATACTAAAGACAGTCAGAGATATTTAATTTATAAAATGAAATCTGTATAAATTATTTATTGGACTATAACATCAAAGATTTAAAATAGGTACACTAGGAAGTATAACCTATAAACCCGCTTCTAAAAATACTCATTAATCAAAATGTTATTTAACAATCTTGCTGTATCTATCCATATATCCATTTTTGTTGTTCTTCTTTAAAACCTGCTATTCATCCCTACACACTCTTTCCACCATTGGCTATCCCGCTGTCTTCTCTCGTCTGGATACTTGTGCGGACTAGACAGTCTTTTCATTAGCTGTATATGTAGCTCTCAATTTGCTTTCTTGGCTTAATTAGCCCATTATCTTTGGGACAGTTTAAGAACCATTACCGGACTCATTGTTTCTTAAATTGTGGGTCCCAACTCCAAATGTGGTTCACTTAGCTCAATGTTGGAGTCACGAAAAAACTGGCAACAGCAAAAGTTATCTGAACATCATTTAGTGACTGTTTTAAACATTTACATGAATCTGTTGTTTACTGTTGACAGTGGATTCTGCAGAAGACACTTCAGGTATACATCATAAAAAGGGAAAGCAGTCCATTCAGCAAATCTTGCAAATACTGATTTATTATCAGTAAGTGTTGGATTTGTATTCCTATTTTATATATCTATATATACACATGGGGTCATAATAAATTTATTGGGTTTAGAGGAGTCACGACTGGAAGTTTAAGAAGCCCTGATCTGACTTACTGTTATCCCACATGCTGCCCCAGAATCAAACACACAGCACAGACATCTCAGCACTGAGACTGTGCCAAGTGTCAGGTAGATGAGAGAAAGACGTGTTCTTGGGCTACTATTACTTACTACGTGCAGACTGACAAATAGCATTCTATCTCACAGACAAATTAGCTTCCTATCAATTGACTCAGATTTACTTGGAAACAAACTGATAGTGGGGTAGACTGAATAATATGCTTTCCTGAATCAATTCAAGCATCTGATATAATAGCTCACCTCCTTGCCAGTCCCCCCAATGCACAATGTATACTTTCAAGTATTTTTCCTTTTCTTTAAAGCTATATTTAGGTTGGCTGGTGTGACTAGATTGGTGATGGAATATATAAGAAACAGAGTAACTCTTCTCATCCTGGTATCTTTGAACTCTTTCATACCACACATAGTACTGTTTCTATATCAACTCCCATGGTTCCATCCTATGGAATTATGGGTTTAGAGGGTGAGGCATTTAGAAGTGACACTCAGAGAGCTCTAGTGCCCAACCAAACTAAAAATGCCTACATCCCAACACGGGAATATAACACAGTGAAATCATAGTGCTGCATTTTAGTGTGAAAATACCTTGGGATCAAGTGTGCTGGCTTCCTGATAAACAGCACGCACATCAATACAATGCATAACCCATGAAATACAGGGTTTTGAAGCTCCTGTCATTTCACATTTCACAAGAAAATTCCACTATTCATGTGTCATTTGGCTAAAAATCTGAAATGCATAAAAACCCAGGGAAATCTTACTTCTTGCTGCTATAACTTAGCTGTTTACCTTAGTGCATGGCAAGATGTAGAACTTTTTATGCACTACATGTTCAACAACAGCTCCAATGTTATGTCAAAAATCAGTTTTTAATCATTG